CTCGCGTTTCATCAACGGGGAGCTCCCGGGGAGCCAGCAGCACTACGGGGAGAAGAAGATCCGAGGCCTGTGCCAGCGCCTCAAGGGGAAGAGCGGGCGCTTTCGGGGCAACCTCTCGGGGAAACGCGTCGACTTCTCCGGCCGCACCGTCATCTCCCCGGACCCTAACCTGGCCATTGACCAGGTGGGAGTGCCCCTGCAGGTGGCCAAGATCATGACCTACCCCGAGCGCGTCTCGGCCTCGAACCGGGAGCGTCTGAAGCGCCTTGTCCTGAACGGCCCTTCCCACCACCCCGGCGCCAACATCATCCGGCCTTCGGGCGACAATGCCTTCACCAAGAGCCTCAGCTACGCGGACGAGCGGCAGCGGCGGAAGATGGCGGAGGATCTGAAGCTGGGGGACGTGGTGGAGCGGCACATGGTGGATGAGGACGTCGTTCTCTTCAACCGACAGCCCTCCCTGCACAAGCTCTCCATCATGGCCCACCGGGTCAAGGTCATGCCCTGGCGGACCTTCCGCTTCAACGAGTGCGTGTGCGCGCCCTACAACGCCGACTTCGACGGCGACGAGATGAACATGCACCTGCCCCAGACGGAGGAGGCGCGGGCGGAGGCGGCCACCCTGATGGGCGTGACCTCGAACCTGGTGACTCCGCGGAATGGAGAGCCCATGGTGGCGGCCACGCAGGATTTCATCACAGGCGCCTACCTGCTCACCCAGAAGGACGTCTTCCTCACGCGCGAGGCCTTCTGTCGCCTCGCCGCGTACCTAGGAGACGCAGCCGAGCACATTGACCTTCCTCCCCCCTCCATCGTCTGGCCCCACCAGCTCTGGACGGGCAAGCAAGTCTTCAGCCTCCTAATCAAGGCCTCGCACCGCGTGGATTGCGACGTGAACCTGGAAATGGAGGAGCGGAACTACTCCAAGGCGGAGGCCATGGCCTACCTCTGCCCTCAGGACGGCTTTGTATGCATCCGGCGTAGCGAGCTTGTCTCGGGCAACCTGTGCAAGAAGACCCTGGGTGGACAGAAGGGGGGCCTCTACTACGTGCTGCTCAGGGACAAGGGGGCTGAGCACGCGGCTAGGTGCATGAACCGGCTTGCCAAGCTCTGCGGGCGCCTGATCGGGGGGCATCGGGGGTTTTCCATCGGCATTGACGACGTGATGCCCTCCCCCGTGCTCTTGGACCTGAAGCGAGTCTTGCTCGAGGCGGGCTTCAGCAAGTGCGACGAACAGATCCGGCTCTATGAGACGGGGAAGCTTCCTTTGAAACCGGGCTGCAATTCGTTGCAATCCTTGGAGTCGGAGCTGAACTCGGTCCTGGGAGGGATCCGACGCAAGTGCGGGGAGGAGGCTTTGCAGAAGCTCCCCTGGCACAACGCGCCGCGGATCATGACCGAGTGCGGGTCCAAGGGCTCCGACATCAACATCTCCCAGATGATGGCCATCCTTGGCCAGCAGTCCGTGGGGGGCAAGCGCATCGAGAACGGCTTTGTCAACCGAACTCTGCCCCATTTCCGCCCCGAATCCCTCTTCCCCGCCGCCCGAGGCTTTGTGCCCAATTCCTTCTTCTCGGGGCTCACGGCCACCGAGTTCTTCTTCCACACCATGGGCGGGAGG